CGGCCCTAGTCCGGCCTGCCAGAGCCTCAAGCTCCACCCCAAACGTGGCCACGCCCTCCGACAAAGCCCCACCCGCAGAGTTTCTCCCTGCCCCGCGAGGGAGAATCACTCACCAGAAGTGGGCTCGCCCTACCCGAAGGCAGACAGACCCCGCCCCTACATGTGGTCACACCCTCTCTACCGCTCTGGCCCGTGGATGTTGCCACGCCCTATTCCCCAGGTTCCTGCCCGAAGGGTGTGGTTCCTGCACCTATGATGATGTCCAGTTGCTTACTAAAAGAGAGTCGCGGGGTTCGGGCCCTGAAAGCCCCGCTCCTAGAAATTGCCACACTCCTCCCAGCACTGACCTCGCTTGTTACAAGGGAAGTCCTTGCCCCAAACAAAATATGCAGGATGCCCCGTGTGAGGATCGAACTCACGACCTTCAGATTATGAGACTGACGCGCTACCTACTGCGCTAACGAGGCTCCTTAGCAACTGCCGCTGAGCCAGGGCCTTTGCACAGGCGATCTTGCCGGGAGCACTCTGACAAAGGAAGCCAAAGTTACTGTCGCCTAGCAACGCCACATCTAAACCGACTTACCCAGGTTGCGCCTCGGTAGCAAAGGGAAGGTCTGGTGAGGTGGGAATTCCTGGTATTCCGCAACCTGCTCTCCAGCTCACGTTTCCCTGCCCAGCACAAAGCACCTAGAAACTTCCCTCTCTGGTAAGGAGTGGTCAGTTGTATCCTCCGCAGCTCTCTCCACCTCATGACCCTATATGACTATATCACCTGTTTTTTATATAACTAAAATTTGCCATTCACACGGTTGTCTCTAATCCCAACTTGGGTTTGGGGGATCGAGGCAGGAGGATCAGAAGTTTAAGGTCATCCTTGGCTACTTAGTGATTTTGAGGCCAGTCTGGGCTACATGATTTATATATATATATATATATATATATATATATATATATATATATGCTCTAGTTTTTTCTGTAGTTAGTGCCCCCTTGTAGTTGACTCAATAAACTTTCCCCCCCAACAAGCAAAAAAACATCACCTATTTTATAGACTGATTAATTAATAATAACATCAACCAAAGACTCCACTTGGTGACCTATGATCCCTGTCCCCAGGGATCTTGAGCTACACAGCAAGATTTCATGTCAAAAAAAAATAAAATAAAATAAACTTAAGTTATATAATAATATTAACATCGTGTAAGGGTATAGCTGAGCACACACAGCCTCTTGTTCTGGTGTGTTAAGGCTAATGGGGAGGGTAAGCTCCATGTTGGTGTGTGACCAAGGCTCTGGACTGTCCACTCCAAGCTGCACCTCCTCAGGTCCACCATTTCATGGACTTCGTGACCATGAATCTTCACTGACAAGATAAAGCAACAGTGAGGTGTGTGTCCTAATTCACAACCCAGCCTCTGCACTCACAATTCAATGCCTCAAGGGTCTCCCTGCACTGAGACTGGATTCATCCTGCCTGCATGCTTCCTAGATGCTGTTCCTTTGCGTGGTAACATGTAAACAAACGCCAGCGTGTTGCTGTGTTGTTCAATTACTGGAAGCATCCACTGGCCTCACTGACTCCTCACCAGGTCACACATTTCATCACATTCTAGTCCTAGCTAGCTTCTGTCTCACCTGCGCTGGCGGCCCTGGTGGGAGGGAGCAGCCATCTGCCTGGACCCCCACACCCTTCCCCCCAACCTAAAACCCACACCTCTCTAGGGAGCATCCTATGTTGTCCCTCAGGGCAAAGGTCCTGGTTTATTATAAAACGTTTGAACGTGGCAACCAGCACATGGGGGAATGCATATTTACTCTCTGAGTCTTCGAAATGAAAACAAAGTGTCATACCAAGGAATGGGGAACATGAGGCTGAGAGAACCCAAGGTACTGGGGGTTGCATCAGCTTTTGCAGCTGCCTGACTAGACTGGGCACTATTGCTTTATGCATCTTTCCATTCTAAAGTGTGGCACTTGCTCTGTTTACAACTTGGTCTATTCAAAATCAAAAACAAAGCTAGCCTTGGCAGCAGGAACCTCCAATCCCAGCACTGTGGAAATGTAATGGTTACCATTACATTTAAAATTTAGACTTACTTTGCTTCAAAGACCAAAAAGAAGAAAAAATACTTCTAACATGTAACCCCCTAGCTTGAACAGGCTATACCCTAGCAACCCACTTTCCTTTTTTCCCCCCAGACATTGAAAGCTATTTTAAATTGACTGGTCTTGTAGAATTTGCTGTTCTAACGAAGACAGTAGGTCATAAGACTAACCCGATATTTCTGCTTTTGTAATCAAACTTTCTTACTCTGCTCCTTAACTAGGACAACTATAAGACATATATGTTAAAACTAGACCCTGCCTACAAGTAGACAGAATGCATATAATCTTATGGTTTTTGCCTTTAGAAGCCCTGGGTTGATATGGCTTGGGAATGCTCTCAGATACAGACCTGACCCCAATCAGTCCAGGTGTCAGAAATAAAAACCTTCCTCTTATTAAAGTTTATTCATTGTCCCAGCGGTGGTAGCACACGCCATTAATCCCAGCATTTGGGAGGCAGAGGCAGGTGGATCTCTGAGTTGCAGGACAGCCAGGGCTACACGGAGAAACTCTGTGTAGAACAATAGTAGTAGTAGTAGTTGCAGTAATAAAGATAATGAAATAAATTAAATAAATATAAGGCTAATAATAATAAATTTTAAAAATTTATTCATGCTCATGGCTAATTTCTGAGTGACCTCAGACCCATAACAGAAGTTGAGGTAGGCAACTCACTGGGCTACAGGTAACAGCCTATCTAAAGAAATATGGACAACAAATCTATCCTCCCACAATGTCAATAAGAGGAGCTGGGCAGAAAAGGGTTAATACAGCACAACCTTCCCTGGAGGAGCTGAGAGCCTATTAAAAGGTAAAATAATCTGACCAAGTTTTCCTCTTCAAAAGAATAGATGTGCCTATGTTCACACCATGACTTCTGGAACTCTGCAATTAAAAAATGATAGACAGAAAGACACAAGTCTACACAGCATGTGTAATTCTGTTAGTCAGTGTATAGGGATGCTTATGCTCAGGGAGGAGACTGGATTTTGTTTGAATACTCAGAGAAAGGACCTTTGGGGAAACATTTGTGATTACAAGTGCACAGGCCCTGAATTTAATTCCCAACGCCAAAATATCAAAGAAATCAGGTGAGGCCTCGGAAGTGATGCACACCTTTAATCCCAGCACTCTGGAGGCAAGGCAGACTGATCTCTACGAGTTCAAGGTCAACCTGATTTACATAGTGGTGATCAGTTCCAGCCAGACCTACATAGCAAGACCCCATTTCCATATATATATATATATATATATATATATATATTTGGGGTGGGAACCAGAGGTAATTCTATTAAGTAACTCAGATTCATATATATATATATATGAAAAATTACAAAGAATATAGAAGAATATGTACATATATAAAGAAGTGAAGTTTAGCTAGGAGAAAAACACGAGATAGAATGTTCTAGAAGGAAGAGGCAGGTACTTGCTAAGTACTAACTTAGCAAAGGAAGCTGAGAGCTGTGCCAGGCAATGACTTATATACAAAGATAGGAAAGCAAAGGTCTGCCATGAAGCAGGGACTGAGCGGACAGAAAGGCATGACAGGAAGGCTCAGGCCAGAATGGAATCTGAGCCAATGAAACAGGAGATAGAGCCGGGACCACAGAGGATGATGCAATCCTGAAGGCAGGCGGTGTTTTGGGAAGCCAACTCAGGCTTCCAGTGCAGCGTGGGATGCTGGTGATCATGCAAGATTATGTTTCATGGTACACAAACACATTTTGTTTTGGTTTAGCATTTGATATGCACAGGTGGAAATTAAGTAGTACACAAAATTTATAAATCTGTATTGCATAGATACCTCTATGTATAGCCAAGTTCTTTTACAAAGCTTCAAGTAAGAAGTGGGGCGTTTGAAAGTAAGTGGTGGGGCTGCACGGTGCTGTTGGAAATGGGAACTGGTGCAGATGCTATGGAAATCAGTATCAAAGTTCCTCAAAAATCTAAAAATGGATCTAGCTATGCCACTCCTGGGTGCATGCCTGAAGGACTCTGGAGTCCACATGCCCCAGAGATGCTAAGACAGTGTTCAACGCAGCTGTTTACAACAGCCCTGAGACGGAAACCGGAAGAACAGATGTGGAAAATGTGTATGTACACAAGGGAATTCTATTTAGCTGTAAAGATTATTACGTCTGCAGGAAAATGGATGGGACCAGAGGTAATTCTATTAAGTAACTACCAGATTCAAAAAGAGGGACAACACATGTTTTCTCTCATATGTGGACCGTAGGTTTAAACGTGTGTATGTAATCTAGGACAAAAGCAAAGAGGGGACCCCGAAGGGGAGAAAGACTCGTAAAGGAAAGGGGAGGGAGGAGTAAGGGAAGCGACTGAAGGGCAGAACACAGGACAGTGTAGACTCTGGCGCAGTCTGCGGGGAAGAAGGCAAGAAACCCCAGCGGTACTTAAGATGCTTTTCAGCCTTGCATTCCCAGTAAAAGGCAGGAAAACTACGCGGAGGAGTAAGCAGGCTTGCGACAGTGATGTGTTAGTGAGAGAAAATAGGAAAAAAAGGACAGCGTCTTTTTCAGTGGGTTGCCTCTAAATCTACTGAAAGCAGGGGAGGCGGCGGTCAGTCACTTGGAAGATGGGGACCGATGAAGCAGGAGTTCATCCTGGGTTACATTGGGAGTTGGAAGTCAAGCCTAAACTACTTGAAACCAAGTCTCAAAAACCCAGCAAAAAAGTGTTGACTTTGCGTGCCGGGCGGTGTTGTTCACACTCGGGAGGCAGAGGCAGGTGGATCTCTGAGTTCGAGGCCAGCCTGGTCTACAGAGCGAGTTCCAGGGCAACCAGCGTTACACAGAGAAACCCCGACT